GAAATGAATGATAATATTTTATTTTTTCTCGCCCCCTAGCCCCCTCGTTCTCTTTCTGGGAGAGGGTCGAGACTTGGAGAATCTGCTTTACGAGAGACATAAATCACGAGTGTTGCGCTCGTGAGTGTGAGTGGGCGGAACCATGCGGTACCTCAACCGTACACCATAAATTTGATACATGTTCATTGTGGTGGCTGGCTCGGTGAACAGTCGGTATACTTCTCGCGCGATCGGTGGCCCACAAAACTTTTCGCTGACCAATAAAATATCACGTTTTGCTTACCGCTCGTAAGCTTATGAACCGTATGAATTTTTCTCAAACACGATTGTGCTTTTTCAAAACCTTAAGTATAAACGAAAAAAGAAAAAACAGAAAGAGAGAGAAAAAGAGAGAAGATTTATATTTAAAGTCTTTTAAAGATCAATTGATAAATATGAAAGAAGAAAAAAAGAAAAAGAAGGTAATTAAAAAGGATCAACTTCCTTCCTCCGAGATTACAGTCATCGGAAAAAAATGTCTGCTCCGTATTTTTTAAAAGAACCACTCGAGGATCAGCACCGTGTACGAAAAGTAATTACGAGATTCGAGATAGGAGCAAGATGATGGTAGTAGTGGTGGTGGCGGCGGTGGTAGTAGTGGTGGTGGCGGCGGTGGTAGTAGTGGTAGTTGGCCACGTAATTTCGTTCTACACCTGGTTTTCTTACTGACAGCATTGCTTGAATTTTACAATGCGTTGATAATCAGTATATGAGTTGAAATTTCAACTTGAAATTCGAAGGATATCGCTAGTCTTGATAAATTTATTACCTTACTCTTACCTACACATACTTATACATATAGTAAGCGTAATCAATTGGAAGACAATTTAAAGAAATTGTGGATCGCAAATGATCGACCCATTAAAAGACTAACCGCACATATCTTCTATTCGATGGTTACCAGGAAGAATTTCAAATAGTAAGACATTGTGTGTAATGTTACGATCGTAAGCAAGATCTCGTCCGAGGTCTAACTTGTTGGACTTTAATGATTCGATTCTCGATCTGAAGATGATCAGAGTTGATTGAGTTTGAAAGAACATCGTTCCCTCGCGTGCGGGCAATCGCTACTTTGGTAGAAACGATCCGATATCAGCGGATAATCCGTGTAACAGGACCAAGACGAAGACGAAGACGAAGAAGATAGCAAGGAGAAGATCTGTGTTCGTATCATACATACGAGAGAGTTTCCGCATATAAACGAGCGGACATGAGAAATAGTTTCATCGGTCATTGTTTATGTAGCCAATTATTGTGCCATTCGTTCTCCGAGGGTGGTGTATCACTTACAACAAATCAATTTGAAGCACACACACCTTATTCCACAGGCCATTCCCATCTCTTTTAAACATCGTGTCCCGCTGAGCGGACAATGTTTTGTCTCGCCCAGCTTTTAAAGCCGACCACGCTGTGAGATTCTCTCTCACAACCTACCTAGTCACCCACCTAAAGGATTTCTACCTTATTTTCTTACCATTTCGTTTCGAACCCGAAACAAGTTCGTGACCCTAAAGGGAAGAGCACAGGTTTTTTTTTTCTTCGTGCCACGCGACAACCCGATTAAATTTAATCGCCGTTGAAATCTCATTTCTTTTTTATACAAATTTCATTATTGTGCCTTTGTTGATGCCAACAAAAAAAGTATTTTTTAACATTCGTATAATCAACCATTTGGATACACATTTATTTGAAAATTATTTTGAAATATTATAATAATTGAAATGAATATTAAATATAATATAAAAATTACGCACATTACTTTGAAATTAAGTAGAATGAATTAGTTAATTCTCGTCACAGTTTCAATGAGGTATCAGAACGTCATGTGCGTCTTTGCCCAAATAAATGCATTACCTACTAATACGTCAAATGTAGCCAAAGGGTTAGAAGGAGGAGTAAGAAAACACATTAATTACTTATAAAACAGAATAGAATTGTTTGAATTGATTTAACGTGTTTTTGTAGTTAAATTTGAGTCTACGACAGTACCGTATCGCAGTCTCATTCGCACCGTTCGTAGCATTAAAGACCGTATTTAAGTGGCGTTTCTTCTCCTCCTTCCCAACCTCCTTCCCCCCCCCCTCACGGAGATAAGACTTAATGGACTTAATGATCGTGCGTGTGCAGAACACGTCGTGACTTAACTTCTTTACGAGGACTTCGTCGTACCACTAGGATTTTCCTTTTTCTTTTCATCCTTAACTTTGCGGTTTTACCTATCGTAAACTTTACCATCGATTTAAATGTTAACTACGTGACGCGTTCATTTTCAAAGGTGTTTTCCAACATATTACCGAACGAATCATAATTTATCATTTTTAATAAGCATCGCGAGAAACTCAATCAAAAATCATTGCTTTGTTGTAAGAATTGCTTATCAATTTTTTGTTTGTATGTATAATTATTACATTTACAAAAAAATATATAGAAATAATAAGCAATCGCAATAACGCGATTAAACGATTCATTTATTACATTAGGTTGCTTTCATATACTCGCCAATAAAAATCGCCAATAAAAATGGCCAATGTGGGAATCGTGCTGTGAACTTTGGCAAATCGATCACGAAGTCCTATCACTTGGAAACAAGCGATGTTCTTTCTCGTATACTCGCCGTGGGGTTCGTACAACTAATTAGCATGCTAATTAAGCGGCACCGAAGATTTTACAGACTCCACAGAGAGAAAGAGTGAGAGAGAGAGAGAGAGAAAGGAGTTCCAGGGTGATATTCTTTACCCTTTCTCTCCCCCTCACTACCTTCCCTCTTTTAACCTAAGGCTTACTTCGACTTTCTCTTTGTCGTCATAATCTCGAGTTGATGATAATCCTGTACAAAGATAAAAATGGATTTTAACAATTATCGAGCTTTCAATATTATCTTTGAAACGGAAAAAAAAAATCAAACGAAAAAAACTTGCCAAATGAAAATGGACGAGCGTAGAATAAAAATAAAAAGATAAAAAATATCATTGGAACAAGTTGAATACTTGAAAAGGTCCGCATTATATAAAACCGATTAATTTATATTCTTTCGAATGATAGCACTCGATTGTCCTTCTTTGACCATAAACGTTCACGGTGCTACTTCGAGTTTCATAATGTCATGGCAAAGAACGTCCGTTGGAAAACAACATAATAATTTCCAACTGTTAAAGGTACCCCACAGATGAAGCTATTAATTGGTACATTAATTCTGGATTTCTCAGAATGCCGGAATGTCTCCGGAGTCACGGAATTAAGTGTTAAACGTTTGCAACTTTCTAACGCTAATGGGGTCCTCCTCGAACCACCAAAGACATTACTTTTTCTTTCAGGATGATGACTTAATTAGCAGACGGATAATTATTTCTCTTCTCTTTCTCAACCGATAGACGATACTTTTTCTCTACCCTTTCGGCGAGGATAATGAGAATAATTACGGTTATTAGGGATTAGATTTATGACCGAGGAACCTACATTTGTAAAAGCTACAATTTGTGAAAGTTAAAATCTCTCACTCATACAAAAGTCAACAAATATTTATAATTCAATTAAATTTCAAAATTCATTCGATCGAATGATAACTACTTATCTCGTTATAATTAATGCTTTTATTATTTATTATTAATAGATTAATTTAAGTATCCACATTTTGAAAGATTTTGTTAGTTTTAACAAAATGATTCTCTCACTTTATTTAATATAATAAGTCTCGTTATGTTAATTTCGTAATTTTGGAATAGTTCTACGAAGGTTTTAACATAAATACCAATTTCAGACTCGAAAATCTTCCTTCCCATTCTTACACCCAGTGAAGAAGAAAAAGAAATTAATTCGAGAGTTTAAAAGCATCAAAACGACTTTCCCGTTCCCACGCCTCTTGGTTGGTACCACCATGACCTCGACACGCGAACCCTAAGATTCTCGAAAAGTTTCAGTAACAGTCAGGGCTTACAGTCGATAATAATTAACTTCTTCGTATCGATTTTTGAATAAGAACAAATATTCTATGAAATTGAAACAGCTGTAAATCATTGCAAAAAGAATGATTTGTCAACCAAAATGATTGCAATTGAATATCTTTAAAATATTTTGTCCGCTCCAAATGGGTAAAATGTTAAAGAAATGATACCTAAAGGTATAAAAAAGAAAATATTAGCGAAATTTGAACAATATCCTCTTAGGTAGCTCGGTAAGCTATTAAGGACACACGAGAGCGTTAAGGAGATTCTAAGAGAAGATGGTTTATGCAGATTCCTCGTATTAATAACTACCATCTCCAGTCTTATGCCTAAGACAAGCCGCAAAGTCAAGATCACAGAGGTTAAGGCGTGTTCAACAAGCTGCTCATGGCTACCACTTAAAGGGCCGCCCCCAGTCGTATGCATACGGAAGTGCAACATAACTTTCTTCTTTTTCTTCTTCTTATTCTCCTTCTTCTTCTACTATACATATAGTTAAATTTGCTAACTTGTTCGTATTGTCCAATTTTTCGTAATCATCTTGATCTAATCAAAATGACAACATTGATATTGGAATCGAGTCAACGAACATTACTGCAAATGATTTCACAACGATAATTATTTTAATCTAATTTTGGTTATATCTATAAAAGTTCAAAAGTTCAGTCAGTGTTACGAATTTGAAGGTAAAAAGAAAAAAAAAAGAGATAAAAGTTAAAGTCTATAAATCATCTCTCAATGTTCTTTTACTTCGAGCTCAACGTTAAAAGGTACAATGCACGATCTGTAAAAGGTATTCACGAAGTCAAGAGTGATATATCGCCGTGAGAGTTCTACCATTGTTTGCGAGTAAGTTCATAACCATGAGGTAGAAAGAGAAAAAGAGAGAGAGAGAGAGAGACGAGACCCTGCTTCTACTAACAGCTTCCTCGTATCAATATGATCACTTTTCTGATTATATAATTAACAAGTATTATATATAGAATTTCTAATGACAATGATTAAACGTTTTCGACTTACCGTTTGGAGCTTGTCTGCAAAGTCTGGCGAACATCCTTTTGATTTATCAATGAACGTTCACCTGTAACAACAAAATATTACCAAAAAATAAAATCAAATAATTAACACACACACATATACATACACACACATACACATACACACACATATGAGAAACAAACGCGATAGTTTATAATTTTATTATACTTAATTGAATGTAAGACACGTGAGAGTATGAAAAGTTAAAACAAGGAAACATACATAGATACTTGATCAAAAAACTCAAAGTTTTGTCGGATATAATTATTCCGGATGTGTTGGGACGTTAATTAGTAACGTTAATTACGTGAAACGACTTTCAACGAATACTATCACAATGATTCAACCGATGGCCATGACTATTTGGTTTATCCTATTTGTCCTGCATAAATAGAAAGATTTCAAGATCGATAAAAGAGAGAGAGAGAGAGAAAGAGGTGAGGGAGGGAAACTTGAGGAGAGATTGGTGGGGCAAGCAGCATATGCAAATCTTTAGTTCAAAGTTTATAGGATTTAATTAACTATAGGATTAACGGTTTCGAACTTAATAAAACCGGTTTTTGTATTTTAATTGACTTCATTTGGAGGCTCCATAAATTCATCAGATTTCGTGGATACTTTCGTACACACGAATGAATTTCTTTTATTTTATTTACTTTCTTTCTTTGTTGTTCTTTTTTTTCGACAAATATCTGGAATCTTTCTTAATTAGCGCTAATTACGATATCTTTTCGCGTACCATGCGAAAATATCTCAAGTCTGACAGAAATCTAATTGTAAGATATAAATTTGTTATAATTAACCGAATGGGGAAAAAATAACAAATATATAAAAGAAATATTATTGAAATTTTGAGTGTGCAACTTAAGGGGTTAATTCAAAATTTTAAATCTTAATCTAAGGTAATTTCTTAAACAAAGCCAATAAAAAAGAAAAAATAATAAATAATTGATCGAGCCAATCGAAGGAAATAATTATAGCAATTGCGATGGAAATTTTTCCAAGGAACTTGGGTAAATATTCGATCGTTGTCAGGAATCGCCATACACATGCGTAAGAAAAGAACAAAATGAACGGATACCGGAAAGTCGGGTATAACTCGCTCGATCGATTCTCGCGAAATGAAGGAAAAAGAAAAGAAAAGAAAAGAACAGAAAAGGAAAAAAAATCAAAGTTAAAGAAGAAGCATGATTGTTAACCGAACGATGTGGAAGAGACGTAATACGACTTGGTGATGGACGATCGTGGAGCCGGAAGTAGGATAGTAAAAAAAGCTAGCATTTAGAGAGACACGTTCAGATCATCCCGCGAATGCCTACACGTCGAAAGAGCAGGGTCGAAAGCATGTTAGGGCAACAACACGTTCCACGGCTGTTTGACATAACCAGTTCGGAGCTGCGGGCAAGGACGACCCCTTCTTCTTCTGCTTTTTCTTCTTCTTCTTCTTCTTCTCATATTCTCCTACTCACCCTCGATCTTTCTCTTACTCGTACCATCAAACCTTACTCGACCCTGACCATCGCAATATATCACTCCCGTACACTTGCCATTAACAATTCGATTTTATTCTCGTGTCAATTTATGATACACACGGTCCGTGACTTTGCTAAAGTTAACCCTTTACACTCGAGGTCAAACTCTCCAAACGATTTTCCTCATCTTTATTGAATTTACGTTGAATTTCTTACTTCCATCTTCGAACAGCCATGTGTTCATTCGATAGGATGAAACATTAACGAAATAGTTGACATTTTGTTCCAATCGAATAGATTATTCATTATAAAGTCAAAGTTTAGTTTGTTTGTTGCGTGTAACCCTATTGAGATACTAATAATTAATTCTAATTTAAATAGAAAATCAAGATAATGATAATAAATCGTAGATGATATTATCATTGCTAACGATAACGTAGACAGGACATAGTTGTTAGCGCGTGTTGCTGTATACTATCTCTTTGATCAACCGTTAGCCTTACCACCAAAGATACTTATCAGTGATATAACTTCTGTATCTTATCAGTATATGTTACAAGTCATTTTATATGCGCTCAATTTATTGATGAATTTGTGTGCATTAAATCGTATTATTCAGGTAATACGTAGGATTTTTAACAAGGGTCTAAACATTCTATTACTCGGATACTAAAAAAGTATGTATGTAAAAATGATTTTGAATATGATACGATAACGATATTCTAGCTCGATAATAAATTATACATTCTCCAAATTCCACGTTAGTGAAGAAAATTGATGAAAATAAAAGTAAATAAAAAAAGTAAATAAAATTTGGAAGGCTTTAGGTTAAGCACACGATGTTATAGGATATAATTAAGAAGATTTAAAGGTTTCCTTTCACAGGTTAGAAATGACACGCGGACGAAATCGTGCAGCAGTGCTATGTCATAGCCTGTTGAGATATCTCGAACCATCAGATTACACCTATCCCTGGCGCCTCTCACCGAGTTATCCTGACGTACGACTAATTGCACGAATAATTGCATCGGCGATAATCGCATCGACGCGATTAATATTTCTACCTCCTGTCGAACCCCTTTTTAATAGCTTCATTATGTTTTATATTTTATCATAGTATCATATAATATTATATTATTTTTCATTTATTTATTTCTTTGATTTTAATTTGTTCTTTTCGTTTCTTTTTCTTTTTCTTTTTTTTTTTTTTTTTTTTTTTTTTTTTTTTTTTTACTCGAGAATCAAACGAACGTAACTGACCGCAGTCGGGATGAGTTTCATTTCAAGTTTTTATTTGAAATATCTTCAACTTATTGAATCGTCACGCGTTCGAGTTCAGTATGGATTTAAGCAAAAAATAAACTCGATTCGCCGTAGGTGTTCCCGGTAGATCGATGATCTCTCTCTAGGATATCAAATAAAAAGAAGAAAAATAAGAAGATGAAGAGGAGGAGGAGGAGGAAGAGAAAGAGGAAGAAGATGATGAAGAAGAAGATCGAAGAGAGACTGTTCGAATGATAGAAGCAAAATAAAAATAGTTTGGTAAAAATTCCGAGAATGTTGAAAATAACTTTTACGATTACTAATTTTTCATCATAAATGCATAACGTTAGCAAATCCACGACGTGTTCACGTTGTCCTCGGTTTGACGTTGATGAATCAAGACGCGTGGATAGGGAATATTTTCAGCAAAAACAGATCGAAGATGAATCAATCTGAAGAGCTATTAAAGGAGTTGAGAGAGAGAGAGAGAGAGAGAGAGAGAGAGAGAAAGCGGCATTAAATTTCATTACATGCACCTTGTTTTGCGGGAATATGATTCCGAAGACCTACCATTGAGAAGATTGTTAGTTCTCTCCCGTCATTCTCTGACAATTTCATATTTTATTCGTGGAATAGGAAATTTTGATTGAATTAATAACAATCATTTCCAACATCTTTTACATCAATATATTCAATCGAATCGAATCATTGGAGAATATCCAATACTGACAATCCTTAATTATCATCTCACGATTAATAATCGATCATTATTTTGTGAGCGAAATTCGAAAGAGATAATTATATATTATACCAAACGATGACGATACGCGTTAATGTGTACGTGAGCGTGTATGATTGATATTACGTATATACTTTGATAAATGTACTCGTTAAATGTCAGTAAACATTGACGAATAATCGAATTAAATTATATCATAAATTTTCGTAAAAATTCTGAACTCACGGTACAAATAAAAAATATTCCATTGAACGGATAAATGCGGTGTGACTGACGTGACAATAAACGAGTTCATTATAATCATTTTAATTTAACCTTTTTTTTTATCCATGCACAATTAACATTATTTATTTTTAAGGAAGCATATTACTTTCTCTTTCTATCTTTGTTGATTTGTACATACTGAAGGTGGTTTATATATAAGAGTGGATCGTGACAAGAAACAAGGAGTTGCACGACAACAACGACGAAAAGAAGAAGAAGAAGAAGAAGAAGAAGAAGAAGAAGAAGGAGGAGGAGGAG